CTGCCGATTTGCCTGTTTAAAAATCCCACCAGAAGTGAAAGTCAGCAAAGGCCAACTGGCAGCCAGGCGTGGCGATGTGCCACGAAAATGCATACAAATCGCTTCTGGATCGCATTGAAGTGCAGGTTGGAGACGATGACGGAGAGCTCGAAACTGCAGTCCAGTCGAGTCAAGTCAAGTCAAGTCAAGTGAAGCCTGATTGAGACAGTTTTTTGGCAAATTCCGTGGCGTCCTGACGCCTAGTGCCTGGTTTATGGGAAAACTCCACTCTCAATTCATACTTCACCCTAAACGACCCAAGCTGACTCGGTCATAACCATTCGTATCGGCATCAGTTAACAAGTTCAGTCATACCTTCGTGTCGACTCCATTCTGGACAGTTGCATTGGTTTGACTTCAGAAAGCCATCCATCCACACACACAAACACACACAAGTGACGTGTACCAGCGCGTTGGGAAGATGAGGAGGTGGTAGTTGTCGCGGTGGCGATCAAGAGCTTGCTCCCCAAAAGTGGCCAGTCAAGACAGGCTCCGGTTTCTCGTCAAAACCGTCCCAGCTCTTTGAGTCCCGAGAGTGAGCATGTCAACTCGCGCGTTCACAACAGCCTCGACTCGTTCTTGTCCTCAGCCTCGCTTTCATTCGCTTGACAATCAGCCTACCAACTGACTATCCTGTATGTCACATACACCTTTTGCGGGAACAAATGTATGAATATATCTATATGTATGTATGTATGTATGTATGTATGCATGTATGCATGTTTGTGTATGTGTGTGTGTGTGTTTGTATGATTAAATGTGTGTGAAGTTGCAAATAGGTTCGTGGGTGTGTTTGAGCAAAGTGTAGGTGCGCATATCTGTATGAATGTATACGATTGTGTGTGTGTGAAAAAACATGTGTGTACGTTTGTGCGAGTGTATGAATGAATGAGTGTGGCTGGTGAAAACAAAAAAATCGTCTTGTCGATGGCGAGTTGGTAGATCGACTGAAGACCGGACAGCATTCAGTTTGGGCGGCCAATTTGAAGAGGGCTCATTGACCAACCGCGGCCAACAGGTCGCTGTACCCTTTCATGCCCTTTCATGCCTGACACGTGAAAAGGAGACTTCCGTTGAGCCACAGGAGCGGGCCAATATCACAGCCCACGTCTGCACCGAAAGACACACACAAGCCTGCCCAAGAGGGCATAGCAAGACCGAGAATGGAGTCGATCGGCCGACAACTCAGCGTGTCGTTAAACTGGTTGAACGTACAGATTCTGACAGCTCATGACCCCTTGAGGACGAATCGGACGTAAGGCCAACCGATACAAACACATTTACCAGATTTACTTAATTGATGTAATT